TACAAAATGGTATTTCCCCCCCTTGTGTGTAACCCTTTACAATGAAGTGTAACACTTCAGGTCCTCCATTACTTCTGGAAGTTCATATACGTAATGACTGATGCATATTCATGCATTCACATGAAGAAGAGTACAGAAACAGGGATGTTACTTCAATACACCACATTTTCCCTTCTAAGCTGTCACTGAATCAACACCCTGACTTTATACTTGGGGAACATCATTCAGCTACTACTTCCAGTTTCTCAGCTAAGTGAGAAACACTTAACTGAGAATTAACACTTTCTACACAACACAAGGTTTAGCTACTGGTAGTTAGAAGAGACCTGTTGGAGCTGCCCTGGGGGCAGTCTATTAACCTCTGTTCTCTGGACACATTAGAATTGGAAAAATTATATTCTGTCAGCTGCGCTACCAGATTCATCTGCAAGTCATAGTCCACCTAAAATCAGTATGAATTAAGAATAAGTGGCTATGAGACAATTACTATAGACCTCAACTTCTATAAGAAGTACTGTTCATGTCTAAAACAGACATACTGTATCTACCAAGGACAAACAGAAGCTGGGTACATAGAAAATGACTTCCCAAAAGTAGAAGGTGATACTTTTGTTTGTTTCCTGCTGCAAGCCTTACGCGTTGTCACTCTACAGTATTCAGCAGTCTCAGGATATCTACCAAGAAGCTGCTTCTGAATTGTAGAGTGCATACAACACTTCAATTAATTATGAAGCTTAATCTTTGATTTGTTGAGTGTCTGACTGAAAATCTTCTGGACATTTCCAATGACTTGATGCGGAGTTACAGAAGGCTTTAAAGAAAGCCTTTGTTTAGCAGTGTAAGTAGCTACAATGATTCATGGCTGCTTTGTTTGTTAATTAAGAATGAAAATTATATTCTACATTTTTTATAGGTTGGTGTAATTTTGAAATCTGAGTTCAACCTCACTTCTCTTCTATGGTGCTATATATTAATTCCCAATTAATGAAAGCTCCAGTGGAGCTGGCCACAGTGACTGTAAATCAGTGAAAAGGGATGAAAAGTAGGTAAGAGTAAGTCAAGCTATCAGTGAGTGCCTAGAAATATTAAGAGTGGTAAGAAATGATTATTTAAGTAGAAAAAAAAAGTACTAAGTCTTAATGAAAGTAAAACTGTCAATCATATGCAAAAAATGGCTGAAATATTCAAAACAGAATATATTTTGTTTTTTAAAAGAAGCAGGATAATGTATTCCAGTCTTATAGTGATAGCAAAATACCTTTTCCTGCATGTGTATCTAGGAAGGATATAAAAATCAAATATACTGCTAATATTGCACTTTAATAGTGACATTACAAAGTCAAAACCTCAGAAGTTAGTTTATCACGTGGCAGAGATTTCCTATGAAGTTTCATTACTGTATATCATCATCTTGAAGAGCATCAAACAGATCTGACTGTTGCTATTTTTAGCCACCTTGAGTGGTACCTTCCTTTTCTCTTAATACTACTGACGTTTACTTGAATATTTATGGAGTAAGTTGCTCTCTGGTGTGCACAGTGATTTCAGGATCTACCCAGCAGATAGTTTGGAGTAAGCTGTGAGCAGTGCTTTGTTTTTCTGGTCTGATTATTGCTCCTCAGCTGAGACAAGAGAAATCCCCTTCTTCCCCACGTGCGTCTGACTCATTGATGGCCCAGCCTGAAATTCTGAAGTGCAATGTATCACTCTCATTGCAGTTTCTGTTTTAATGTCCGCATATAACCTCATGAAGTTCAACAAGGCCAAGTGCAAGGTTGTGCACACGGGTTGGAGTAATCCCCAATATTAATACAGACTAGGGGATGAATGGATTGAGAGCAGCTCTGCAGAGGAGGACTTGGGGATAGTGGTAGGTGAAAAATTAGACGAGCCAGCAATTTGCACTCGCAGCCTGGAGTACTGGAGTACTGGAGTACTGGAGTACTGCATCCAGTTCTGGGGTCCCCAGTACAAGAAAGACATGGACCTGTTAGAGTAGATCCAGAGGAGGGCCACAAAATTGATCAGAGGGATGGAACACCTCTCCTATGAAGAAAGGCTGGGGGTTGTGGTTGTTCAGCCTGGAGAAGAGAAGGCTCCAGGAAGACCTTATTGTGGCCTGTCAATATATAAAGGGGGCTTATAAGAAAGATGGAGAGAGACATTTTACCAAGGCCTGTAGTTACAGGACAAGGGACAATGGTTATAAACTGAAAGTAGATTTAGACTGGATATAAGGAAGAAATTTTTTACAATGAAGGTGATGAGACACAAGAACAGGTTGCCCACAGAAGTTGTGGATGCCCCATCCCTGGAAGTGTTCAGGCCAGGTTGGATGGGGCTTTGAGCAACCTGGTCTAGTGACAGATGTCCCTGCCCATTGCAAGGGGGTTGGACTAGATGATCTTTGAATGTCCCTTCCAACCCAAACCATTCCATGATTCTGTGACTCCATATGAAAGGACCAAATCAAAGTGCAACCTGAATTATAAGAACTCCTGGAGGTTTTTAAAAAAAGGAGTCGGGGAACAAAAACAACAGATAATTGGAAAATTCGCCAAATCTGATTTTGAAGGAGGACTGAACCAAGGTTGAAGTTTGATGGAGACACTCAGCATGGAAATTTCAGCTTAAATGCTTAGTTGGGGAAAATCTTACTAGTGACTGAAAACAGGGTCACAGAATGGTAAATCATTAGACAACCTTATCAGTACTCATCACATCCAGTTTCAACTACCAGGTCAGTCTCAACAGTCCTAATCATTCCCCTGGTTCTCCAGTATTGCTGTCAGAGGAACTTTATAAGGACAAGCAGTTTAAAGAGTATTCTACAATGGTATTATTATCATTTTTATTTTCAGAGTAAGGTGAACATGAGACAGCTTCAGTCCTATTTTTCTGGTACTACATAGATATGTACAGTGCAACTCTGATGATACTACTCATTCAGTGACTGCAATTTAACTGTTAAATCAGTTTACACAGCTATGGAAATTTCCAAAGGGGAAGATGCTAACAAAATAAGTAGGTTTGCCTGAACATTGCAGGAACAGTATATGATATGATCCCAGATGTATACTTGCTTACAGTGGTATAATGCAACTAACTTTAGTGGAAAAGTCATACTGAAATTAAATCATTCAACAATGATCAGAATTTGTATTTCATTTTTGTATTTGATGTCATAGACTCAGCTCTTCTTGTAGTAACCCCTTTATTTCTATTCGAACTGGTTATGTTCATCCACAATTTTTAAGGATGACACTGTGCAGTTATTTGGATTTCTGCTAATTCTTCCTTCTGATTTACAGAATTTTTTACCATCTATTTCTTAGCCATTCACAGTGTCTTTTTAACTCCTGGTACTTTTTCTTACTATGCTCATGTATTTTCTTCCCTAGTTTCTACAGTTTTCACCAGCCATTGCAATAGACTTGCCCATCCATTTGTCTTTGGAAAGACAACCTCCTAAACTGCAGGGAGTTGGCAGTCTCTGCTTCTTGTGGACAGAGATCTTGAGATATGGCTTGGGTAAAACAGAGAGACAGACAGCAGTATTGATCGCTCCTATATGTTTTGTTTTTTTTTTTTTCTATGTACAAGCTCCTATATAGGAGCTTCCAAAAGTGACAAGGGAGCTCTAACAGCTGTCTCAGCTCTCAGCTCATGAGAAACCCTCAGCCTCTTATATATATCCTCCTGCACAATCAGTAGGAAAGGCTGAGGAGCCAAACTTGGCAATGGGCTTGTAGCAGTTTCTGTAAGTTTGATGATGGGAAGTATTTGCTCATACTGCTGTTCTAGATTCATGCTCTGGGTACATTTACATGTAATGCTTACTTTTTGAGATACTGTTTCCAATTCCGTTTATCAGGACTGGAAATTAATCTGAGAAGGCCCAGGTCTACTAATGTTAGTAGAATCCCTGCAGAGAGAAGAATCAGCTGTATTTATTTCCTGAATGACTCCTTGCTCAGTGCATGCTTTCTTCTCACCCTAGTCTTTGCTGAAGCAAAAAAAATTCCTGTAGAGTTGTGGGCAGGGCAAAAGCCAGATTAGTTATGTAGCAAAAACCAAACTAACCCCTGAGGGCTGAGTCTGCTTGGGCATGTGTTAACAGCCTGCGCAGCGCACGTTGCAGATGCATGGGCAAGCAGACTGCAAAACACAATGCTGTCAATAAAGCTGCAGAACTTGAGGGCTTCAGTGATTCTGAGGCCACCTTTATCCAGAGAGCTTCTGTAATTTCTTTTGCTCCCACTTCCTCCTGAGGGACAGCTTTAAAGAAAATCAAGGATAAGAGAGAGGTAAGGTCTGTCTGAAGACACCAGAGGGATCAGTCTGCTAAACTTGATGCCTGAAGGTAGGGAATTCACAGTCAGGTAGCCTGCATAGTAGAGAGAAGCAACAATTCTCATTTCAAAATAACAGAGACGGTGCAGTCAAAAGTCTGTAGCAACAGCATCTATTTGTAAATTATCCCTATACCAGGAAGAGCTACCTGCTAATGAGAAGTTATAGACTCTTTATTGTTCTTTATGGTGATGTTTTGCTTTTTCTAATTCTCTTCCTGATATACTTTTCTAGCAGAGCAAATAATAATTATGAATTATTATTATGTTGCACTGTTTTTACCCAACAGCAAACTCAGCCAGGATAGTGTCAAACAAAGCTGCAAGCAATTTCTCATTTAGGAAAATAGAGTTTTCTGTATTACTGCTATGGGAAAATGTTGTCATGTCTCAGCTGATGGCATACACTGTTCTAAATGTAATGATCTTCTTTAGTTATAATGGTGATGAAGCACTATGCAATTGCTTGACAAGTTTTGACTGCACCTGTTTGCAAACTCAGGTAATTATGCTCCGTTGTCTAATTGCTTATTTTATGGATGTTTTGCTCACATGTTTTTAAGCAATGCTATTTGATTGCAGATAACTAATGGTAGAGATCTCTTCTCATTATCATACTTTAACATTTGATTTGTCTGATTGCTGCAGGTGGAAACAATAGGTGATGCGTACTGTGTTGCGGCAGGACTCCATAAGAAAAGTCTCAGTCATGCTAAAGCCATTGCCCTGATGGCACTGAAGATGATGGAGCTTTCAGAAGAGGTTCTCACTCCAGATGGGAGCCCTATTAAGGTAAGCAAGCTCTTTGCTCTTTATTTTCAGCTAGTCAGTGGTACGTGGACCTGATGAATTCCATCGTGTTCTGACAGTAGAAATCTGTTTATTGCTAGGAGAATTTAAAATTCCATCAATACATCACGGTCCTTTTTATGGACATATATTCCACAGGTGCCCATCAGCAATCATGTAAGCTATGCCTTACTTTAGTAAGGACAGTAGACTACACAGACTAGCTGTCGCCTTGTCATATGCATTGAATGCCTATTTGTGGCTGGAAGGCATTAGACAGACTCCTGGAGCCCTTCTTCCAATTCAGTTTAGTGTGAGAAGATGACAGTTCACATGATCCAGGATTGTCCCATGCTACAACCCAAGATGCAGTATGCAATGGCAATTGGGAAATTCGCTTCAGAAGTAGGCTCCTGATCTGAACTTCAGCACTAGTGTAGAGGCACTCAAGAGAGTTCTGCGCCTCTAAGGGGTCACAAGTCTCTTTTCTAAATAGTTGTTGACCTTTATAACAGAAGAATGTTATAACAGTAGACTGCCTGCTCTTTCTCAGCGTTAATGTCCTTCCTTCCCACATAATTCCAGTTCCTTCTCCTAGATTGGCAGGAGATGGAAAACCACATGTCCTTTTGTACCATTTTAAACTTCCACTGTTGTTCTGCTCCTCTTGATCTTATGCCAACCTTGTAGCTGCTGACATTTAGAATTGTTAAGGTTTAGGTAGAAGATGGAGGTTCAAAAAAAAAGAAAAACCATGGAGATATATATGTGCCTTTCTTTTTCAAGGGTCAGATTACACATTGTTTTCATTATGTGTACTCACTTCTGTTTCTGGTTAAATTGTTCTTCCCATAATACAAACCTTTTGTTTTCAAAGAAAATGGGGGGATTATGTAGAGCAATTATTTAACACTGTCTAAAGCCTATAACAAAAGCCATATGTAGCTGGATGAGAAGGCTGGACAGACTTCCCATGGGATGATTTACATCATGGTTGAAATGCACTTTGTAAACTGCAATTCCTCATGTCTGTTAAAAAATGAGGGTTGCATCCGAAATGCTTCTTTCTTTTTTTCAAAAATTGAAAGACCTATTTTGAAGGTTTGAAACTTGACAGAGAGGAGGTAAAATTTTTAGAAATGTATTTAGGGATGTTGCTGTGATGCTCCTTGAGCAATAAAACTGTATACTTCTGAGTTCAAACTCTATCTATTAGTTTGGTCATATCTTGAACTATACTCCTTGAACTCTTTGTGTATGGTGAATCAAGAGAGATTTAATCCAAAAGAGTTGCTCTGCCCAGAAAGGAGAGTGTGGATGCAAGGCAACCAAGCTAGAAATTCCATGAAATATGGCAACACAATATTCAAATGAAAATATATTGAGTTCTGGATGAAATATTTTTATTTTTAGATATCAATGCTGCTGATGAATTTTTTTAAATGTCAGAATAAAATATTTATTTGATTATTGAAAAATGTCCACATATTCAAAAGAATAACTTCCTGAAAAAAATATCTTGGACTATGGATCTTGAAGAAAATTCTTGTAAAGCTTCATATGGACATTCATCGAATACAGAATAAGCATTAAAAGACAAATGTTGTCTGAAGATATCAGAAGACATAGCATTTTCAGTTTTGATATAAGACTGTTTCAAACAGGTATTAAATTAATCCTATTAAAATAGATTTTCTAGACTGTTTGATGATTCTAGCTACACTGTCACATGCTTGAGAGCTGTCTTCCAGATCCTCTCCATCTTTTCTCTTCCTTTTGAGTGATTGCTGCAATTGTAGGGAACTTTTGAAGGTGTATGTTTTAGTCTGAGAGTCACAGTTTGTGACTGTTTTCATTACCACTGTCATTATTTTTCAGAAAATTCCTCATGATTTCAGTGGCTGTGTAAGAAAACCTATAAAAGAAAGACTATAAGGACAGTGCAGAGGAAAAATGCTTGCATAAAATAAAATGCTAGGAATAACCAAACTTTCAAAAAGTGCTAATAAACCTTTAGAATTCAGAAGAAAAAAGTCAGTTCATCGTACTTAAACTGAAAGTAGAGGTACTGAGAAGCTCCTCAGTGGGTGTTAGTTGTGCTGTCTTCTGTTTTAGGTGTAATAGATTTCAGGGCAGGAGGGATGGCGATATCAACTAATCTCACCTCCTGGGTGACAAAAGTCATAGAATGTTCTTGTTACCTTTGTGCCTAACCTGATAAATCATGTTTAAAAAAGCTTCTTTCATAGAGGCATCTTGATTTGATTTTAAATATATTAAGATTAGGATTCCTCTCACATGGATGTCTACCCTGTAAAGCAATTGACTTTTGGAGAAGTCTACTTTAATTTGTCCTAGTTTAGGTGTCTACTCTACTATGAGATGAATCACGCCCTAAAAATGTGTATTTTCTCAGTTGTCTGTAAGGGAAGTCTATGGACTTAGCTTAAATGTGGATGTCTACACTGTAAGCTTCTGCACTCTGTCAGATGAATCCTCCTACAAATGGCAAAGAATGCATAGTTTTTCTTAGTGGTTATGTCAATGATCATCACAGTTAAAAACATATGCATTATTTCTAAATCGAGTTGGAATGACTTTAGCTTCGAGCCAATGTTGAATTGGCTAGAGTGATCCCTATTTTTGTTAGCTGCCAGTTTTTCACTTAAAAAAAAGTGAAGGTGCCCATTGTGCCACAGATTCCCATTAACAAATGCTTCATGTGCATTTGAAGGTCTTAAAGCTCCGTTAGGGGTAGTTCAGACTGGATATTAGGAAAAAGTGGTCAAGCACTGGAACAAGGTCCCCAGGGAAGTGGTCATGGACCCAAGCCTGTCGGTGTTCAAGTGTTGGGGCAACGTTCTTAGATATATGGTTTAACTATTAGGTTGCCCTGTGTGGAGTCAGGAGCTGGACTTGACGGTCCTCGTGGGTCCCTTCCAACTCAGGATTCTATGGTTCTGTAATCTACCTGACGTTTAAGGAACCCCTAGGTATGTGTAACAGTTACTATGGACGCAGCTCAGAACCATTAGTAGGAGACTTACTGCATGACACATTTTACAATTAAGCTTTGCCATTAAAATATTTAAATATTCATTAACATTAGATACAAAGTACACAATGTAGGCTATAAGACATTTATAAGTGCCCTGACTTCTAAACAGTGAATTTAATTGTACTATAATGTGGTTACTTTGAGCCAGTCCTATTGATATGGATGGCAAAACAAGTGCAGTAATTTGACTATATTTTGACCTTAATTCTCATCCGTGATTCATGTTACCAAGCACAAGTCACATTTCCTAAGTCCTTGCCAAGCCTGTTGAATATAGAATGCTGACACAGCTTTTGTTTTCTTTCAAAAAACCTACATCAGTATTTGAATATTTGAAAAGAACTTGAAATCTGAGCACAGTTTTCCTCATGCCCAACTTTTGGTATCTTTGAAGCTTTCATGAGTTGCTGTGACTAAATTCCAACTTCATTCTTCAGGATAGTCTAGCAGGTATTTTGAAAAAGTAAGAAAAATACTTCACTAAGTCTGAGACAATTTTTCAAAACATAATTCCTGAAAATAAGGGACCTTCTGATCTCAGGAGTAGACAACAGTGTTCTGTTTTCTCCACCCCCAAACTGGCTGATAAGCCTTGATTAAATAGGAAGAAATTGTTCTCTGCCATTTTATAGAATATGTGACACCTTGGTTATTTGAAGTTCGATTTCTGCTAGTAGGCTAACAATTACAGCACAGTTATTCTGTTCTGATTGTGTTTCTTACTAAGAAGCAAACATGCTGAAGTCTCCTTGGTGTTTGCAGGGGATTTCTTTTCCAGGGGCATATCTCTTGTTTAAGCTCTCTGAGATCAGCACTGGAAACCGTGAGTTTGTCCGTTACTCCCCAAGTTTGTGGGCACATTTAAGAGGCTACTTACTTAGGGGGTGATGTTTTTTCAGACAGAGTCATTATGAATCTGCGTGGGTTTTCCTGGTTGCAGAGATTTCAGTTCTAGGGAAACGTAACTGCCATTATGAAATGTAGTGCTTTTTATTTGATGAATACTCAATTAGATATGTCTCACCTTATGATTATGGCTTATAGAATATATATATTTTCTAAATTACTTTGATGGATATATTTTGTTGTCATCTCAGGACTCAATTCACCAGAATATAAATATTTACTTTTTGTAGTGCTTGAAATGTTCGTCCCTGTGATAGCAGCAGATATCTTACTGAATGACACTTAGAGTCTCAGAGAGACACTCAGAAAGTCAGGAAGAAAAAGTAAATGAATGAATGAAAAAATACTGTATCATGTAAGTGGTAATTTAGGATAGGATTTTCACCTATAAAGTGCATTAACCATCAAATGAAGTTTGGTGTCTGGCTACAGAGTTATCATTTGACAGTATTCATTGTAGCGATCACAAACCTACCTTGTTTGTGCAGCCATGTACAATTTATGAAAAATCTGCCCCTTGGAGCAATGCTCGTGTGACCAGTAAACAGTGATGGACCTCAGGATGGTGACAAGGTGTATGAAGCAGGTCTGGTTTATATGCAGACGATGCTCCTGCCCCCTGAGTCAGAGCTCATAGCATCCTGATAAGAGCACCATGATGTGCAGCTGACACGCACTCAGGCGTTTGACACTTCCAGCAGAGCCAAAGGCAGCAGCAATGCATAAGCAGAATGGAGACCCCGAGCCTGCACTCCTTATACCTGCGTGAATAGCCTGTGATTTGCAAGGTAATGAAAAAATGTTGTTTTGCAGAAAAAGAGAATGAGCTATATTATAGCAGCCTCCACAAATCCTATCAGTGTTGCAACACAGTCTGCTCTTTTCGAAAGAAATATTTGTAACAGAAATAGGCTGATATTTCTCCTGTGAGTGATGGAGAAGGCTTCAGGTCCCTGTATGATTTTTTTTAAACTCAATTCTATTTGAGGCAAAATCCCATTACTTTAGCATGAGCTAAGGCCTTAGTACAAAAGAAGGA